TCTCATTTTTTGATGCATGGTCACTGTCCAACTTAAAAATATTCAGCATCCATCATAAACAAACTCTTTCCGTAACATAAATTCTAATACCTGGGATATTGAAATCAACTTATTCTTAGGTAAGACTTTTAACTGTTTTATTATATTATATTCTCCCTCGAAAAGAGCAAATATTTCTGGGGAGCCCATGAGAGAGGGAATCTTTATCTTTTTAAAATATTGAGTTTATAATTAGCAAAGGATAACAGAGTAGAGAAAATTGTAAAAATGTATGAGGAAAATGTGATAAATACTATGATAAAACTGTGTGAGAAAAAATGATAACTTAGAGCATGGAGGAGATGGCACTTCACTCAATATTGAGGAATTAAGGAAGACGTTTTTGGAAGAAGTGATATTTAAGCTCAGACCTAAAAGTAAATTGGAGTTAGTATGATGAAAAGTGGGGAGGAGTGTCTCCGACAAATGACTAACATGTGCAAAGACATGGAAGAGAGAGGAAAAACGTCACACTGAGGGAGTGAAATCATTCCCTGTGGCTGCAACATAGATGAAGGCTGCAAGTGGCAAATGGTAAACCTGGGAGGAAAGAAGAAACATAATTTCAGGGCCTCTGTGCCTTAGTTTAAGAAATGTTTTTTTTTCAATCTTAAGAACAAAGGAAACACATTGAAGACTAAAAGTGAAGGAAGCTAGATGATCAAATTGAAGTGTTTAGAAGCTAAATCTAGCTCTAGTATGGCAAATGGTGAAAAAAAGATGGTGAGCAAAACCAGAGACAAGGGTACCATGTAAGATACTGTGCCATATTCCACTTGTGAAGTAAACAGGGAGCAGTGGAGAGGGAGGTAAGATTTGAGAGAGATTTAGAAAGTGGGATTGAAAATAATAAGTGAAAAAAGAAAAGAAGGAAGGACGAAAGAGAAGATTCAAGGGGGACTTTGAAGCTTTTATATGGGCTTCCTGGAGAACGAGAGTCCCACTCAAGCACAGAATCATAGGAAGCCTTGACCTTGTATTACACTTGGCCCTGCTTTCATCTTCCAGTTGCAGGGAGTTTTCAATTACAGAGCTCACTCACAAAATCACCTCATTTGATCCTCACAGTCATCTCTGTGGAGTCATCATTAACTGCCTTTATTGAGGAAACTGAGCTTGTGAAAAGGCATAGAGGCCAGAGGAAATGCAACACAGTCAAGGAAGCAAAAGAAGGTTTGAGTGGCTGGAGCAGAGAAAGTGAAATGATAGGAGCGGGGTCAGAGATACTGAATTGTGTAGTATCTTGCAGGACATATTAAGAATTTTGAGAGTTCATTCCAAGAACACAGGAAGCCATAGGATGATTTTAAGCAATGGTGACATAATGAGGTTTGCATTTCTAAAATATCATCTTAGTAGACGTGTAGGGATTGGAGAGGAAGGTGGGGACAAGAATAAAAGGAGAATGGTCAAAGAGCCATTGCAGTAGTTACACTGATAAAGATGGCAGTTTGAATTACTGGGGTGGGTAAAACTTTAGACACAGACAGAGGTATATATCTCACTACTTCTATAGAGTTTTGTGCTAGAGGTCCTCGCCTGTGTGAGAAGGCAAGAAAAAAATATAAAAGACATACATATTTGAAAGAAAGAAACAAAAATTTCTTTATTCACAGATGACATAATCATCTACATGAAAAATCCCAAAGAATGAAGCTACTTGAACTGGTAAGTTAATTTAGCAAATCTGTAGGGTACTAGGTTGTTATTTAAAAGTAAATTATATCTCTATTCTAGCAAGGAACTATTGGACGCTGAAATTAAAAAAAATTATAATAGTATCAAGAAACACAAAATACATAGGAATGATTCTAAAAAATAAGTTCAGGGTTTCTTTGATGAAAACTACAAGCACACTGATGACAGAAATCAAAGACCTAAACCAAGGGAGAGAGCTACTGTGTTTATCAATTGGAAGAGTCAATATGCATAACTTGTCAATTCTTCCCAAATTGCTCAACAGATCCAATGTGATTCAATCAAAATTCCAGCAGGCTTTTTTTTTTTTTGAAAAATAGAAAGACAAGCTGATTTTAAAATTTATATGGAAAAGTAAAAACCCTAGAATAGCCAAAGTAATTTTAACAAGAAAGAGCTAAGTTGGAAGATTCATATTACCTAATTTCAAGACTAACTATAACTTATCAATACAGTGTGGTATTGGTATAAGGGTAGACTTATATCATTGGAACAGAGTCCATAAATAGATACACACTTACATGGTCATTTAATTTTTGACAACACTACCAAAATAATGGAAAAAGTAAAGGTATTTTTTTCCAACACGTCAGGCTGAAAAATTTTGTTAAAAAGTAAATAAATATATTAATAAAAGAATAACAAATTCAACCCTTACTTTGTACCATTAGAAAAAATAACTCAAATAGGTCTTATAAATATAAAACCGAAACCTATAAGATTTCTATAAGAAAAAACAGGAGAAAATCTTTCTGGCCTTGGGGGAGTCAAGAATATTTTAGATAGGATACATAACATATTTGATTTAAAATTTGATAAGGTAAAGTTCATTGAAATGAAAAACTTCTGCTCTTTGAAAGACATTGCTAAAAATATGAAAAGGCAAGCCACAGACTAGAGAAAAACAGTTGTAAAACATAAAGCAGATGAAAGATTTTACCTAAAATTTAAAGACTCTTCTAAGTAAATAAGATAGTTTGAATTAATACTTCACCAAAGAAAGAGATATGAACAGTGAATAAATACATGAAAAGATTATCAACATCATTAGTTATGAGAGAAATATAAAAAATACCACATTTATTATTATATATCCACATATGCCATTATATACTTGAATGGCTAACATTTCATTTTAAATAGACAATAAAAAGCCCTAGCAAGGATATGAAACAACTGAAATTCTCATATATTGCTGGTGAGAATTCATAATGGTACAAACACCTTGGAAAAACTCTTACTGTAAGATCTAGTAATTACCGCTTATGTATTTATCCTAGAGTAATAAAAACATCCACATAAAGACCTAAGTGATTTTGGCAATTTTATTCATAATTATCCCAAAGTGAGAATAACTCAAAGAATCATCAACTTGTGAATAAATAAATAAATGGATACATCAATACAATGGAGTATTACACAGGAGTGAAAAAGAATAAATTACTGATAAACACAGTAACACAACTCCATTTATATGCCATTCTGGAAAAGACAAGCAAACTTACAGGGAGATAAATCAGATCAGTGGTTAATAGGGGCTGGAGGTGGGAAAAGTGAATTGATTTCAAAGAAGCACCAGGGAACTTTTTAGAGTGATGGAAGTGCTCTGTATCATGATTGCAGTTGTGATTATAGAACTGAATATATTTGTTAAAACTCATCAGACTGTTAGCCTAAAATGGTAAATTCTACTATATAATTTATACCTCAATAAACCTGGTTAAAAAATATAATTGTAATAGTTTAAATGAGAAATTACAATAGTTTAAATGAGTTTAAATGAGAAAGCTTGAGCTCAGATGACTGTGGATGATGGTACATAGTGAAAAAATCCAAGATGTACTTAGGATATAAAATCCACAGAAAAAGTTGAATGGATTGACACAGGAGATGAGAGGAAGGGAGACATATCTTTCTCTTATGAAAATACTATAGTCAGTCTAGAATTATAGTGGATTTTTAAAAATATACTTATCAGTCTTACCAGAAAGCAAATTCTAAGAGGTAGAGAGATAGCAGCACACCAAAGCAAGATATTAGAAAGAGCAGTGTTGGTTCAGTTCAAAACGGAGTCCTTGCATCCACACTATAATGAGGGCCAAATCCCATCATTTAAAACTATGAAAGCATATAGAGAAAGATTAGGGTGATTAAATAATCATTGTGCTCAATAACTATGTACAGTACATATAATTTACAAAAAGCACTCTGTTACACATTATGCAGAGTGTAATTAAAGACCATATGGTTATTAGGGGGAAAAATACTTTGAAAAGTATGAGATGCGGCTTTCACTCTGGACATGAGTACTAAAAAAAATCGTGATTTTAGTTAAGACTTTTAATTTGTGAGTATCCGCACTTGCAAGATTTATCTTTCCTTAACTTCCCTTTTGACTTGATCCTTCTGATATATTGTGATAGGGTGGCCACTTAAGGAGCTCACCATATAATTCATTTAAAATTTATATATGACTTAATTTAACAACTACTTTTCAAGCATATATGCTAGGTTCTGGAGATGCGAAGTCCTTAAGGAGTTTCCAGTCTCACAGTGGATACAAGTAGGTAGCAGTGTGACAAGACAGGAGAGAAACCCAAATAAAATAGAGAGATGCAAATAAAGCTTACCTTAAACCTCAAATATTTGTACATTTTCCCTGTGATTAGATTCCCCATTGCCACTTTCTACATATACGCCGAGTATAACATATATTATCAACAAAATATCAACAGCAACATTATAGGCTCACAAAGCACCGTTTTTTGGAATGTATCAGTATTTGTAATATATATTACAAATACATATATATATATTACAAAGTGATTTTCTTTTGCATAATATGAGACAAGCAGAAAGTCATCCTGATAGGTTATTTTTATATGTTGCTATGTTCAGTTCACCCCGATATACACACTAAAAAAGGCACTTCTAACATCTAATCTCAAAAAATAAACATTGCATTGTCCACATTATTTGTACCACATGACCACAGTCATTTGCTTGTTTTATTAACAACAGATAAATCAAAGCCCTCAACTTGAATAATAAAATCTACTGCCTACACTTCCGTATGCCTGTGTCTAAAATCACATAGGTCATTAAATTCGGATTGGGCACATACCTTAGAACAATTTGAGACTTCTTCCTTACCTCTTACCTTATCAACCCACCAAGAATAGGCATTTTGGGGGAAAAAAATGTTTCTTGCATCTGTGAAAATGCACGGAACTCTGGAAAACAGAGCAACTTTAATGGCTTACCTGGCTTGAGATGAGCGAATGGAATTTCGCCGGTGAGAAGTTCCCACAGACACAGAGCGTAGCTGAAGACGTCAGCTTTGATGGTGTAGCGTGTGCACTGTGTGAACACCTCAGGAGCCATCCAGCGGAGGTTCTGCGGGGCAAAAAACATCCACAAGTCATTCAGCAAGCATTTAGTTCTGCTACTGTGGTACCGTGTTCTTCTTAGTGAGGATTTGTTAAGTGTTCTCTGGATGTTCTCAAAAATGTAAACGTAAAGTGACGTTGATAGTGCCCTCAGTGCGTGCAGTAAATAGGCGTGTTTCTGCATAAACAGCGTGTTTACTGCTGCTGTTTAGTATTCCTAAGGGCCTTTTTTTTTAATCATTGGAAAATCATGAAATCCGTAATGCTTCCAAAAACACTGCAACAATATTAATCATCAAATAACCCTGCCTCTTTTAAAATGGTGGTCACAGCAGCAGCATTTTTTAAAAAAATTATTTATCTCTGAGCATCTTTCCCTGGGAAGCTTTAAAGGCTTCTGAGTGGCCATCCATGGATTCATCCAGGAATTCTATGCCTCACTGGGGGCGAATCACACATTGTGGGAGGAGGCTTCCTTCCTTTAGACTTCCAGGTTGTGATTTAGGAAGTCACTGAATTAGACCTGTAAACAGTGCCCACATGACTGAGGAGAGAAAGGGCCACGGGGGAGTGCCCAAATATTTCTACGGAGCAGATTCCTCACTGGCAGGATCGGGTTTGTCATGTTTCCTTTGTCCACCCAGTTGTGTTATTTCTGAATGCTGTTTGTACAATACTCCAGAAAGCAAGGCCATAAAACTTTACAAAGTTCTCTGTACAAAGTTCTATCCTCATGTCTTAATGGCATTACTTACATTCTTTTCACTTGCAGTTATGTATTTTTCATTTTTAAATGTAAGTTTCCATTCTGGGGTGCAAATGCATAAATTTATTTGTGGTTTAGGGGGGGAAAAAAAAGCACCAGATTTTGAGTTAGGAGATGAGAATTCTAGTCCTGGACCTACCACTGACTATTTGAGCAGCTCTGGGCAAGTCTCTTACACATCCTGGACCTCAGATTCCTCAAGGGCAAAACGGAGGAGGCAGGCCCTTCCAGACTCTCCAACTTCATGGCTTCATAATCCTATCAATAAACTTTGCCAAATATCTTTTCTTTGTATCTCTATGGAAGGAAACTGGTATTCTTTTATTACTCTTACTGAAATTCTGTGCATAGTGCTGCCTGCTGATAATTCTTCTGAAGAGTCTACATCAGTTTGAAATCATGTATAATTACAGCTTTCCAAGAATATCTTTATTCCGATTATGGTGCTTGTATGCAATTCTCCCACATGAGCTTTCACGTTCCAAACAGCCTCCGTTTACACAGCTGATTCTGTGTTGTGTCACAGCACTGCGTAAGTGGGAGCAGGCATACAGGATGCCCGTTTTTTCACAGAGAGGTAAGAGAGTAATTAGCAAACTTCCATAAGGCCACAGAACTAGTAAGAAGCTAAATAGCCTTCAACATAAACCTTGAATGGTGCTGAAAGACTCCACGGCCAGGATAAGAGAACATTGCTGGTGACACTGGTGAAAATCAACCCAATTTCATTCAGCAAAAGTTTACTTAGTCAGAGAATCTCAACTGGCTGCATTTTAGAATCATCTGGGGGAACTTTAAAAAGACACATGGACCCAAGGTCAAACCCAGGCTACTGAGATCAGAATTTCTGGGGGATGGATTCAGGATGGATGCTTTTACAAAGTTTCCAAAGTGATTTCAATGTGCAGCTGTGCTTGAGAACCACCGAGTTAGCTATCTCCATGTCCCGCATACTAGAAAAGGTCTGTGTGTCCTGTCAAAAAAAAAAAAAAAAAAAAAGACTCACTCTTCCCACCTCCTTCACATCCTACCATTCTTCTCTTTGCTTATTCTACTCCAGTCACTCTGGCTTTGAACACACAAAGGACTCTCCTGCCCGGGGGCCTTTGCACTTACTGTTAACCTTTCTACACTGCTCTTCTCTTTCATGGATAACTTTGGCATAGGCCTTTTACCAAATGTATCTTTCATTTCACTCATCTGAATGGCATGCCCATCACCCTCTATTTATATACTCTGCTTTGCTTTTTCTTCACAACACTTATCATCACCTGATACATATTTTGTTATTTTGTTCAATGTTTATCTTCTTCTACTGGAATTTTTAGCTCCATAAACACAAGAACCTTATTTTATTCACTGCAGTATCCCCAGTTCCTAGAAGAATGTCTGGCATCTGGGAGGTGTTCCATAAGCACTTGTTGAAAGAAAGAGTGAAATCTAACTGGGGAAGCAGCATGCTCAATCCTACTTACAATACAACGTGATCCATGGTGTGGTTTCTGCCTTCCTCTCTAACTCATCTCTCACATTCTCTTCCTCACACAGTGTACCAACAACGTGGAGCTGTTTGAAGTCCCCCAGGAAGTCTTGGTGATTCTCATCCTCCCCTGTGGCTTTGCTCACGCAGAGCTGTCTCTGCCTGACAGCCCCCTTCCATTCTCCCCAATTTTGACTTATTCCTGTTCATTCCACCAGAACTCCCAGTATGCTTCGTCACTTCCCTATCAGTGAATGTCCACATGGCTTTAAATCTTACCGGCTTATTACATGTTTCCCCCACTAGAAAATGAGTTACTTGAGATCAAGGACCAAGTTTTTATTTGCATTTTGCTTTCCTGGCCCTTTGTACAATGCCTGACACCCTCGATATGTGTTTGCTGAATGATTAAGAGTACCATCTAGCAGTGCAAAGTGCTAGAAAAGCACAGAGTGAAAAAGTGTACGGGGAGGAGGCAGGAGAGGGGGTAGTTTGCAGGAGGGAAGGTACTTAAAATGGATAAAATTTCCTGGGCCATGCAAGGTGAGTAGACTTCCTCCAGTTAGGGTGCACTGAAGGGCTCTGCAGGCAGAGAACATGACACCAGCAAAGTCACGGGGCTGTGACAGTGATGGCATGCTTGGGGAATAGCCAGACGGCCTGTGTGCTGGGACACAGGGGACTTGAGAGAATGCGCAGTGGGAGAGGAGGCCCCAGAGGAGCCTTGGGGCTGGAGTCGTGGGTGGGGACTTGGGGGGAGGCATAACACTTCAAGCATCATTGGTAATTTACAGGGAGAGGTGAATTGTTAGAATACAGCACTTGGCTGATGTTGCAAAGAATGAACTGGAAGAGAGGACTGGAGTTAGAAGGCTAGAACAATGGTCCAGACGAGATAAAGAGGACGGACCGGAATGAAGTGGTGGTAAATGAGAGTTTGAGACGGGCTTTAAAAAAAGAAGAGAAACAGAAACGGAAAAAGTGATTAAGTGCGGTGTGAGCAGAAGCAGGAAAAGTAAGCTTGGGTGAGTAAGTAACACAGCTAGTTTGGAAAGAAGAGTGCACTTTTTTGTAGGGAGGGAACAGGAGAAGTCAGATAACGAATCTGAAGGCAGACCTTTTTTGTACAATAAGGCTTGCTCCAGATGTTGTGATTTATATTTTTCTTAAATATGAATATTTGACTATACCACCTATTGCCTTATGATGTTAAAGTGGAAAACTATGAATCATTAATGGATGCAGATAAACCGTGAATTTGATGGTTACCTATTAAATGCTAACTCTGCCACTTAATAAGGAGATCTAAACATGAAAGCCAATTATCCATGCCCACCATGTACTTTTCAATTATTTTTGAAACGAATTACGTAATTTTTTTCTGTACCGTTTTCCAAATACATATCTAATCTATTTCTCTAACAGAGCCTTGAAATTATTCTTTTGGGGGCTTACTGAAAATAAAAACGTAAAACATTATCTCGGGACAAGGACATTTCTTCGTTAAAGCTGCTCTCATGGCCCTGCCTCTCCTGCTGACTTTACACGTTTTAATTGTTTCGTAATTATTGGGAACACGAGCAGTGGCAAACCCCGGGTTGTTTTGTCATGTTGTCTTCGTCCACAGACTGTAGAAATCTCGATTCTGAGGGAAACAGAAAACAAACTCATGTCAAAGGAAGTATTTTAAAACCAAGCTTGAAGATTACAGCTAAAGTTTGAAACCCCAAGAAACCTGTATCATATTTAAATTCTCACTTCCTTTCTTTTAGCTGAAGATATATATGAAAGAGGAAAAACTCAAAATAAATGATAGCCTTTTAAAATTCAGGGTCACTGAAATTTGGATGATTTGGAGAAGTATAGCCCTCGGTGTGAAATCTGCTTTCAGATTCCTCATCTAGTATCAGCCAACGAGGGGCGAATAAAGAGACATGTCATTTGGAGGTATTATTCATGGAATCTCACCTCCAAAATCTGCCACCACAGCATGCCCATCTTCATAGAGGAGAATATTGTGACTGTAAAAAAAAAAAAAAAAGTAGATTTTGAGTCAACTTTACTATTTCCTAATCTGAATGGCCTCTCAAGGAAGAGGACAATAATCATCATTTGTTCACCCTAGAGGCTAAACAAGTCCCGAAAGGCTAACAGGCACTTCAGATTAGTGAGTCTGACTTTCTTAGTTTTGCTAATTTAAAAGGAATATTTATAAAATGTGATCATCTCATACCTGAATTTGAAAGTACATAGAGTATTCTACTTTAGATAAAGCTTTAAACTTGTCAGAAGACTCATTAGCTGAAGATAAATTTTTCAGCTCCTTGGAGTTGATTAGCTAACAAACTTTGGTTACAGGCAACGGTAAAAGGTATCTGAGAGTGCCTTAGATCAGAGCAAGGGAACAGCTTGCTGGAACCCAAGGCACAAGGACAGTCCAAGGCAGGGTCTGACATGAACTTAGTAAAAGGACTCTTGATGGACAGCGTCTTAGTCAGTATGTCCTGGCTATAATCCCAGGACAAAGGAATGTTTTAAGGCCTGTGAAACGAGTCCAGCTAAACTGCTTTTTCAAGTCTTGAGGAGGAAGACATATAAAGGTCATCAAAGCCTCCTTTCTAAGCCAGAACTCAAGTTAGATTAAGACCATCCTCTTCAAGAAGTAAATCAAGGCTGGGGCAGTCCAAAGAGGGGTCATTTCTCTCACATAGCGGTGAACTGAGTCCTGAGATATCTTATGGACAAACATATTGTGACCCAGGAGGGTCTCTGGGCGCTTCATACTGAATGCCTTGCTTTATGCTCATTTCACATTTGGCTTCTAAACAAGTCACTTCAGCATTGGGAGACCTCCCACTGGATTTGTTTTAGTGCACAAAAGCCACGCTATATTTATTTATCCATTCTATCCTCATTTTTGTTTCATGATTAAAAAAGGAAATTTTTAAAAATCATTTTCTAGTCCTGAATAATTCCAGTACGATACTCAATCTTTTATATAAGCACTTTCAGGTGCTGAGTTAAGCATTATAAGAAGATTGCTCTTGAACTTCCCTTATCTTCATCATTATTGAATTTTACTTTTGTGCCATACACCTAATCCTCTTTTCAACTACTGAAACTGTAGAATGTGTTCAAGGTCACTTTGCTTGGAAGAGCCCACTGTAGAAGTAATTGAGGATGTCAAAGGAAAAACCTCCAAGATGTTCTCTTTAACTGTAAGTCACCAATTAATACATGCTATGAGAATGACGCTGTCATGTTAAAGAACTCTGTAGCATCAAGAACTCTCTGGAAGTTCAAATGAAAAATGCTTATACGGACATAATTCAAATTGCCTAAAGCTGGAAACATCTCAAATGTTCTTTAATGGGGAATGGGTAAAAAAAGTACTTCTTCCCTACAATGGAATATTACTCTGCAATAAAAAGAACGAGCTATTACACATTACAGTACCATGGGTGAAGGGCAAATGCATTCACTAAGTGGAAAAAAAAGCCAAAATCAAAAAAGCTATGAAACAGATGATTAGATTTACATGATATTCCAGAAAACGCAAAACTTTAGGGACAGAAAGCCACAAATCAGAGGTGTCCAGGGGATGGGGTTGGGGGAAGGTTGACGACAAAGGGCACCTGGAAATTTGGGGGGGGGTGATGAAATGTCCTGTGTCTTAATTATGGTGGTGATTACATGACTTTATACACTTGTCAAGAATCACAGAACTGCACAGCAAAAAGGGTGAATTTTCTTTAAGTAAATGATACCTTATTTAAAATTTGTAAATAAACTAGATAAATAAAAGCAAAAAAAAAAGTCATTGTTGTGTTTGGCAAGATTGGACTCACGAGATAAATAATGATTATTTTCATCAAACTGAAATAACATTCATAGTGAACTCTTGTGTCCTTAACAAACAATAGCAAATTAAACAGAACAAAGATGCAGTGACAACTGAGGAACATAAACACAGTATGAGTTCATAGCAGCAAATGGGTCCAAATGTCAAGAAGGATGCTATGAAAATGACATAGCAGAGCGAGAGCATTTTGGGAAGTGCTGGAATAAAATGCAATGTTCTTTTCACCCACAGTCTATTGGGTTTGTCCACTCCTTCTCTAAACACACAGTAACAAAGAAAACAAATTTTTAGAACTACCTCTAAGATTCATCCATTCATCTTTTTGGTTAGTGCTAAGCCATATTGTCTGGAGTGAAATAAATGGAGGGGGATAGGTAGGGATGACACAGATGCATCTGTGCCAATCAGTGACAGGACCAGTGCCTCCAAGCGGGTGTCTGCCAGGGTCAGAGAGGTCATCTGAAGGGTCATGAGCGTCAGAGTCAGTTCTCAGGGAAAGAGATAACCATGGAGTTGAAGCCAGCAAGGATAACATTAGTGAGGAGTTTAAGAGTTTATTACTGAGATATATCGAACTGCAAATTTTGAGAAGAGTGAGAATAATGAAAATTGTGGGAGTGGTCTGGCAGTAACAAAAAAAGTGGCAGTAAAGAGAGAAGTGATGAAACATTGCATGAGAGCCTCCAGTGGGCCGGCACTGGTGCTTTTGAGATTCTCCCATGCCTCATGCAGCCACCATGTGGTTAGTATTCCACGATGGAGAACTGAGGCTCAGAGTGGTTACATAAGATGGCCAGTATCACAGCTGGTAAGAAGTGAAGCCAGCAGCCAAATTTCAGTCTCCAAAGCCTGCCTGTTTAGGAGAAGGTGACCCCTGCATGTTCTAGACAGGCCCCGAGAAGCCAAAACTATTGGACCAAAACCTTAGTCCAACAGATGTCTTGGACAGAAATTCCAGAAATGTTGCTTGGGAAAGAGAAGTCTACCAGCTAGTGCACCACATACCTGCGTTCAGTGCATGACTATAAGGCAGTGAGACTGAAGTCAACAGGCTGCATGGAAATTGATCTAACCGACCTCTGCTCCACCGAGAGACAGCAGGCCAAGACTAACCTTCTTCCCTTCCAGAGTGTGATGGATGTGTAGTGTGCAGGGAACGAAGCACGCTCACTGTGAACAGGGTGCTTGCAGTCCGAGCTGGGAAGGAAGCCAGGCACAGGAAGAGTCTCAATGCCTGGGAGGCTATCATCAGGCTCAGAAGAGAGAAATAAAAGAAAGGTGACGGGAATCCTGAGACTTCTGCTGCCCTGGAAGACCACTCCGGAGGCTCATTTTTTATCTCTTTGCTTTTGTGTAAGATTCTGGGGAGAGGCGGTCTGCTGTCACCTATGGTGCTTTACAGAGCAGCTTCATGCACATGATAACACTTGGTGGAAGCATGAATTTGACAGGCCAGCAAATCCGTCAGTGATTGTCAGAGCTGCATCTTAGTCCAAGTCCTGTGACCTGGGAGAGGAACCCGGGAGAGGTGAAGGGCCGGAGACGAGAGAGGCTGCCCTGAGAGGGAGGGGGAAATGGAGACCAGCTACTGTAATACACCAACACGTACACACATCTGCATGCACTCCCACATCACACATGCTTGCCTTCCAAACCCTCCAGACACATGGTTCAGGGTGAAGTGCCACCGAGGAGTTTGGTGACACCATGAACGGACGTTACAGGTCCTAACGGTCAACAAGTCCTTAATTCTCACAGTGATTTTTGGTATTTCTGGATTTAACATTTTGATTCAATCTGGGTGAGTGGGATTCTGAAAGCCTGTGCTATATGCTAACTTGTGATTTTGCTGTATCAAATGAGGCGTCAGCTCAGAAGCACGTTGCTCGGCTGGTGAGTGCGCCGGGTCATCCGGGCGGCGCCAGCAGCTCCGAGGGCTTTCTGGCTGCCTTTGGTCGTCCTGCAGGGCCAGGGAAAGGATGCACCGCGAGGAGGCCCCTGTGAGGGCCGCTCAGGTTACTCTTCCAGCTGTGAGGGCCTAGTTTTGTGCTACGAACTGCAGCGCCTGCCTTCAGAGAGAAGCACAGTCTGCCGGGGGAATGAAATGCAAACTAAAAGGAAGAGACTTTACCAATACATAAGCTAGAATTTAAAGTGGTTTCCATGGTGAGCGACCTAGAGAAGAATACAGTGAACATGAGAATACTGAAAAAGATCATTAATAAAGTAGTACAGAAGGGACAGGAGAGGGCATGCAAGGTAAGGACCGAAAGTCAGAACACGTGATTTCTACTGGTTCTAGTCCTGTGATTCTGGACAAATTATAATACTTAATATTTTTGAGTCTTCCTTTCTTTAAAAATTATGAGAAGAATTAAGGAAACCAAAAGACACAACATATGGAATTTTGCGAGCTGTGAACTGCTAAAGAGGTGTTGGTTATTGTTAATACACATAAGACCTAGCTTACAGAGCACCTGTGCAACGTAAATGCAGTGTAAATGTAAATGTGAGCTAGACAGCCGTGTGCGTGTCAGGTATTCAGTGATGAGTCCTGAATCAAGATCCACAATAGAAACCGACTTTTGTATGGAATATTTCAACTCACTCTTGGCCCTAGAGAGTCTCTTCTTCTTCCATTCTCATTGTCTAATGCTACAAAGAGATTGCGGCTTTGATTGAATGACTGCATTTCACCGAAAGGAATCTTGTTCCCCTGGCTGCACTGGTACTGCGGTGTTCGGACTTGGCTCCAGCTTTGTCTTTTATCATGAAGCAAATGATTTGGGTCAATTGCTTATGTAACAGAAGTGAGTATTTATCTCTCTGAAGCGTCTGTCCCTTACAGATTGCTCCACAATAAAGTTCTTTTAACCTTAACAATGCATGCACTGAGCAGAATACAGAATATAATTGAGGGTAAGATCTACTTCGTCCAAGTAAGTGATGCGAATACAACCCATGCTCTGACCTTCAGTTCCGTCTTCCACAGTAGCACAGTCCGCTTTCGGAAAAGAATAAGCTGTTTTCAATGTGGGCTGTGTGTGTACGTGTGTATGTGTTTATATCTTTTAAGTGCTTCCTCACTTAAAAGTTTTTTTTTTTTGAACAAAAGTGAATGGAATTTAAATTCTGCTGGCTTCTTGCGACAAAAGAAAA